CTGATTCGGCATCGCCTCCTTCCTCGGTAACCCCACCCGAGAGACAAGCCCCACAACCTGTGGTAAGGCATAACATTCCGCCAAACTCACCGTCTCCAACCACCTCTCCGGCCTGCACCGCTGATATGCAGGATTTCGGCGAGGAAGACCCGGAAGGGGAGAGAGAGTGGGACAATACGTCCTACGCCACTCTAGCCCCAATGCAAGACTCCCAACCTGTAAACCAGGAGCCCATGCCTGGTCCATCTTCTGCGCCGGACTCTTATGCGCAAATTGCAGCAGCGCCGAGATCAGCGCCACCATCTCCTCCACCACCATCTGCACAAAAACAACAACAACCAGTAAATAACCAGGCCAAATACCCTCCTATTATAGTGGAGTGCTTCCCCAATTGGGCGAAGCACTTCAAAATTATCCACCAGCTTCTGGGACACGCCCCTAATGCTCGCCCGTTTGGGAAGGGAGTCCGTTTTCGGCCCCAGTCCGACGACGAGTATCGGAAGGTCCAAAAGTACCTTATTGAGAAAAGCAAGGAGGACGCCACCTTCGTGTGGTATTGCTACGCCCCACAAGAGGAGCAACCCACGAAGGTGGGGTTAAGAGGGCTCCCTGCCGACACTGATCCAAAGGACATACAGGAGGCCCTCATAGAGAAGGGCTTCCCTGTCACTTTTGTCCGATCCATACCACCCAAAAGAGGCAGGCCCGGATGCCTGTTTCACGTAAAGATGAACCACCTAAGCCCCGAGGAGCTCAACAGACTATATAAGATTGATGAGCTGCTCTACATGCCGGGGGTACAAATAGAAGGCTGGACAGGCAGAATTGGTCCTGCACAGTGTCACAGATGTCAAGGGTTCGGGCATGCATCGTACAATTGCTACCGACCCTTCAAATGTGTGCGCTGTGCAGGTGACCATCTCGCCTCAGCTTGCCCACAACCGCGGGATGCACAGCCCAAGTGCGCCAACTGCGGTAGGGATCACGCCGCAAATGATAGGCGATGCCCTGTGCTGCAGCGAATTGCGAGGAAGAGAGGCATAAACATACAGCCTCCCATACCCCCGCAAGCAGCAGCACAAGCACCACAACATCAACCGCCTCCACAACAACGACAACCACCACCGCCTCAAAGGCAAACCTATTATCCATCACAACAACTGCAACAACAGCAGCAACCACTACACCAGGCGCCTCAACCGCAACAGCGGCAGGTGACATTAGCACCAGCGCCTACTACATTTGCGACGACTGGGGCGACATTAGCTCCACCGGCGAATGATCCCACGGAGCGCATAGAGCGCCCAAAGAGGAAAAGAGGCAAGAAGAAGAAGAAGAAGAAGGCAACCACCCAAACAGCTCAAGTGGGTGGTACTTCAACTCCTCTTCCTCCACCCAACACCACCAATGAACAGCGACTACCACTGCCACAACTGCGATACACCTTCCCTCCATCAAATCAGAACGAGCAATCTGCACCCCAACCCCGAGATCAACGCCCACCCAAAAGGACAATAACTGTCACACCCCTATCACAGCCCCAGGCACCAACCACCATCGAGGAGGCCCTCGCTCAACTGGTGGGCGTGGTAATCAGGATCTTAGGAGAGGTCCTGACTGCCATGACCACCGGCACCAACCCCCTTTCGGCCATCTTAACGGCCTTAGCCCAACTAACATCTGTCAGCAGGCCATCAACTTAGGATGGTCTACTGGAACCCCGGCGGCATCTTAGGGAAGGTCGCCGACCTGAGAACCCTGGTCCAGCAGCACAATATCCAAATTGTGCTGCTGGGGGAGACTAAACTGCGCCCCTCTGCACAACTAAAACTCCCCAACTTCTTCGTGTACCGCCACGACGAGATCTCCCCAGAAGGAATCGCGTACAGGGGTACTGCGGTCCTTGTGAGGAGGGACGTCATGCACGAAGAAGTTAGCACCAACACACAATTTAAATCCACAAGAACCAAGGGTATAAGGTTGAAGGTAGGCACCAAAGAACTGAGAATCTTTGCCGCCTACCGACCTCCTGGCACCTCGTTTGCCCCCCAGGATATACGTACCATTTTCGACTCCACAACGCCCGCAATTATCGCCGGAGACCTCAACGCAAAACATCCCGCTTGGGGCTCCGGGCTGATCACACCACCCGGAAGAAAACTGTTTGATGACGCCGAGGAGTGGGGGTACGAGGTGCTGGGCCCAGACGAGCCCACTCATATCCCGACAAAACCCGAACATCAGCCCGATGTTCTTGATATTGTGCTGTGTCATCTAGTGCCGTATACAACACGGTTAGAAGTGTTGTATGACCTAGAAACGCAACACCTCCCCGTGCTGATTACGATCGACACCAGTGCGGATGCCGCAGTGCCCAGAAGCCTCAGAATGAGGACTAATTGGCAACGCTTCCGCAGTGCGCTGGAGGACCTCCAACTCTGCGCCTCTATCACCACCTATGAAGATGTGGAGACAGCGGCCCTGCATATTCATAATACCATTAAAGACCAACTACAACTTCATTCCCACCCTGTCTCCACGGGGCGCGGAAAGGAGGAACTCCCACGCAAACTGCAAATTCAACTATCCGAAAAACGGAAACTGAGGAGGCTCTGGGCACGGACACGATGCCCACGGCTTAAAACTAAACTTAACTCTCTAACGGAAGAGCTGTCGGAAGCAATGAGAGCATACAGGGGAGAAGCATGGGAGAGGCGAGTCGACGAAGCCTCGGAGACACCCGCCTCCCTGCATCTCCTCAACCGGCAGCTCTCCAAGACACCACCACCTGTCTGCCCACTGGTGGACAGCACGGGGAGTAGGATTTACGACGCCCAACCTAGAGCGGAGTTGATGGCACAGCACCTAGAGCAACAGTTTATACCCAACAGCATAGCAGAGGGGTACGCAGACCACGTACAAGGCATAGAGGACCGCGTACGGGAATACCTCTCTAACCCGGCGCCGCCATTGCGAGGCGGCGATTTCATATCTCCAGCAGAGGTAAGGCGCACTATTATGCGCCTATATAGCCGTAAAGCGCCGGGTTACGACGGCATAACCACCACTGCAATAAAGCAGCTGCCTAGAAGGGTAATAGTGGCACTCACCAGGCTGTATAATGGCATCCTGAGGACTGGCCACTTCCCGACCATATGGAAGCAGGGCAGAATCATCGTGCTGCCGAAGCCGGGAAAAGACAGGAGGTTCCCGGCCAGCTACCGCCCCATAACGCTATTGCCGCACATAGCAAAACTCTTCGAGAAAATCACCCTGAACAGGGTACTCCCACATGTTACCCTGCGGGAGGAGCAATTTGGCTTCCGCAGGGGACATTCAACCACGTCTCAGCTGGCCCGCGTGCTGCACCATCTTGCGGCCGAATATAACTTCGGCCGCATCTGTGTGGGGGTCCTTCTCGACATGGAGAAGGCCTTCGACAGGGTGTGGCACGCAGGGCTAGTATATAAACTCATACACAGTACCACCTTGCCGCCAATGCTTGTGCGGCTAATAGCGTCATTCCTGGAGGGGCGGAGCTTCCATGTCTCCTTGGAAGGGGCTGTTTCGGCGGCACGACCGATTTCTGCGGGAGTGCCACAGGGCAGCTGCCTATCACCGCACCTGTACGCGGTCTACACCAACGACATCCCCACCCTCCAAGGCCATCTGGAGGAATGGGAGGATGACGTTGTCCTAGCCTTGTACGCCGACGACAGTGCGTACTTCGCGTCATCACGTCGGGTGGACATAGCTGCTAAGAAATTGCAGCGGGTACTCGACCTCTTGCCTGAGTGGCTGGACAAATGGAGGCTGGCGGTCAATGTCGGGAAGACCGTCGCCTTCATGACCAGGCTGGCCAGAACACCACCAACTCTGCAACTCCGCGGGCAGGATGTGGGTTGGAGTAGTACCATTACGTACCTAGGATGCCAGATAGATCGCTCGCTGCGCATGACCCCGATGGTCAATCACGTTGTGAGACAGGCCAGAGCTGCGCGAGCGAAACTATACCCTATACTGGCATCCAAACTCCCAACAAGAACGAAAATAGGTATCTACAAAACCTACATCCGCTCGCGGCTGACCTACGCAGCACCAGCCTGGTACGCGTTGACCTCGGCCACTCAGCGCAAGAGGTTGCAGGCCCAGCAAAATCTTGCGCTCCGGGTGATCGTGGGAGCCGGTCGCTACGTCAGGAATGACATCATTTCTCGCGACCTCAAGGTCGAAACCATCCACGATTTTGTGGTCCGTTCTGCGAGACGGTTGTTCGACCGCGCAGACAACGGGCCACACCTACACCTTCAAAATCTTGCTCCCCTCCACGCCCGCCCACCTGACGGGCGACCACTCCCACGTGAACTTCTACGCTCACTGCCCGGCACAGGGGACGCCGGGGGTGAGTGAGCGTCCCGACACTCGACGTGATGGCGCGAGGTGCGCAATACACCTACATACAAGCTGCCAACGCAGCACCCAGGACCGGGGGGTCGTGTCCTCCTGAGATGCCGCCCATGTAAAGAGGGTCTCCTCGACACATGAAAACCTCCACAAGGAGATGAACCACCACTGTCGCCACAGGAGTTCGTCGCGGGCCGTGCTACAGTGCGGACGTGTCTAGTGCGCTCCTGTGTTGTGTACGTGTTGTGCTAGTGATTGACTCCGCCGACGTCGAGTTCGCTCCGTTTGGCGTCGAGGCGTCGCTGGCGCATTTCCTGCGTCGGACTGTTAATAAGTAAGCGTAAAGGTCACTACTTACGCTTTGCCCTACTTTACGTTTTACCTTTTGTACACTGTACCCTCTTTTTATAACAAAAAGTGATTGCAAGTGTTCCGCATTTGAGTGAGATTACGCCCATCCCATCTGCGCCTCACACACCCCTCCCTGCTCGCGGGCGCCTCGCTGGGCCTCCCTCACGGGTCTCACCCGGTGTGGTTGCACGCGCTGAGGGGAGTAAGGTGTGTGATAGCTAAGGGCTGAGCATAACTAATTAGTAATGTCGGACAAGGGGGAACCTCCCCCAACACGCCGTAAACCACCTGATAGGCGTCCGGGAGTACTCGACAGGCCCCTCATGGAGCGAGACCTCTTCGCTCCTGAGAGATCCAGAGTGCTCCCACCTTTCAGCCAACTCCCGAGGCGAATAGGCAGTATACCGGCGCCCGGCGCCGCGCTCGGCGCAGGTGAAGCTGTGTCTTCACCGAGCGCAGAACTGGCTCCATTACCACGCCGGAGCCTAGCCTCGCGGAGACGTACACCTCCTGAGATAGAACAAGACCAGCTGCAAGAGGAGAAAAGGCTGAGAGCCGGATCAGACTCACTATCTGATTCGGCATCGCCTTCTGCCTCTGCCACACCACCTGAGATACAAGCCCCACAACCTGTGGTAAGACATAATAGACCGCCTAACTCACCGTCTCCAACCACCTCTCCGGCCTGCACCGCTTACATGCAGGATTTCGGTGAGGAAGACCCGGAAGGAGAGAGAGAGTGGGACAATACGTCCTACGCCACTCTAGCCCCAATTCAAGACTCCCCACCTGTAAACCAGGAGCCCATACCCGGTCCATCTTCAGCGCCAGACTCTTATGCGCAAATTGCAGCAGCGCCGAGGTCAGCGCCACCATCACCTCCGCCACCATCTGCACAAAAACAACAACAACCAGTAAATAACCAGGCCAAATACCCTCCTATTATAGTGGAGTGCTTCCCCAACTGGGCGAAGCACTTCAAAATTATCCACCAGTTACTGGGACACGCCCCTAATGCTCGCCCGTTTGGGAAGGGAGTCCGTTTTCGGCCCCAGTCCGACGACGAGTATCGGAAGGTCCAGCGCTACCTCATCGATAAAAGCAAGGAGGATGCCACCTTCGTGTGGTATTGCTACGCCCCACAGGAGGAGCAACCCACGAAGGTGGGGTTAAGAGGGCTCCCTGCAGATACCGACCCTAAAGACATACAGGAGGCCCTCATAGAGAAGGGCTTTCCAGTTACATTTGTACGGTCAATTCCACCAAAAAGAGGCAGGCCTGGCTGCCTGTTTCACGTGAAAATGAGTCACCTAAGCCCCGAAGAGCTCAACAGATTATACCAAATTGATGAGCTCCTTTACATGCCGGGAGTAACAATCGAAGGCTGGACAGGCAGAATTGGCCCTGCGCAGTGTCACAGGTGTCAAGGGTTCGGACACGCATCCTACAACTGCTACCGACCCTTCAAATGTGTACGCTGTGCAGGTGACCACCTGGCCTCAGCATGCCCACAACCGCGGGATGCGCAACCTAAATGCGCAAACTGCGGGAAAGATCACTCGGCGAATGACAGGCGGTGCCCAGTGTTGCAGCGAATTGCAAGGAAGAGGGGGATTAATATGCAACCCCCTATCCCCGCGCAAACAACACGAGCACCGCAACGTCAACCACCCCCACTACAAAGCCAACCACCTGCACCGCATTGGCAACCTCCACCACCTCAAAAACCTCAGTACTACCCACCCCAACAGCAGCAATATTCACAGCAGCAACACCTGCAAAGGCAGGAACCGCAACCGCAACAGCGGCAGGTAACAATCACACCTGCACCAACCACATTTGTTACGACCGGGGCGACTTTAGCACCACCGGCGAATAACGCCACGGAGCGCACAGAGCGCCCAAAGAAAAAGAGAGGAAAGAAGAAGAAGAAGAAGAAGGCAACCACCCAACCAGCTCAAGTGGGTGGTACTTCGACTCCTCTTCCTCCACTCGTCACTACCACACAACAACAGCAATCACTGCCACAACCGCGGTATACATTCCCTCCATCCAATCAGAACGAGCAATCTGCACTCCAACCCCGAGATCAACGCCCACCCAAAAAGACAATAACTGTCGCTCCCCCATTACAGCCCCAGGCACCAACCACCATCGAGGAGGCCCTCGCTCAACTGGTGGGCGTGGTAATCAGGATCTTAGGAGAGGTCCTGACTGCCATGACCACCGGCACCAACCCCCTTTCGGCCATCCTAACGGCCTTAGCCCAGTTAACCTCCGTCAGCAGGCCATCCACTTAGGATGTGTTATTGGAACCCCGGCGGCATCTTAGGGAAGGTCGCCGACCTGAGAACCCTGGTCCAGCAGCACAATATCCAAATTGTGCTGCTGGGGGAGACCAAACTGCGCCCCTCTGCTCAATTAAAACTCCCCAACTTCTTTGTGTACCGACATGACGAGATCTCCTCAGAAGGTATCGCGTACAGAGGTACTGCGGTCCTTGTGAGGAGGGACGTCATGCACGAAGAAGTTGGCACCAATACACAGTTTATATCCACCAGAACCAATGGTGTAAGGCTGAGGGTAGGCACCAGAGAAATTAGAATCTTTGCTGCCTACAGACCTCCCGGCACCTTACTTGCCCCCCAAGACATACGTACCATATTTGACTCCACGACACCTGCAATTATCGCCGGAGACCTCAACGCGAAACATCCCGCTTGGGGCTCCGCGCTGATCACACCACCCGGCAGGAAACTGTTCGACGACGCCGAGGAGTGGGGGTACGAGGTGCTGGGCCCTGATGAGCCCACCCATATCCCGACAAAGCCAGAACATAAGCCCGATGTTCTTGACATTGTGCTGTGTCATCTAGTGCCGTATACAACACGGTTAGAAGTGTCGTATGACATAGATACACAACACCTCCCCGTGCTGATTACTGTCGACACCAGTGCGGATGCCATGGTGCCCAGAAGTCTCCGAATGAAGACAAATTGGACCCGCTTTCGTAGTGCGCTGGAGGACTTCCAACCTTGCGCCCCAATTACCACCAATGAAGATGTGGAGACTGCGGCCCTACATCTTCACAACACTATAAAAGATAAACTCCAACTCCACTCTCACCCTGTCTCCACGGGGCGCGGGAAGGAGGGACTCCCACGCAATCTCCAAACGCTCCTGTCCGAGAAGCGGAAGATGAGGAGACTCTGGGCACGGACACGATGCCCACGGATAAAAACTAAACTAAACGCTATGACGGAAGAGCTGTCGGAAGCAATGAGAGCTTACAGGGGAGAAGCATGGGAGAGGCGAGTCGACGAAGCCTCGGAGACACCCGCCTCCCTGCATCTCCTCAACCGGCAGCTCACCAAGACAGCACCACCTGTCTGCCCACTGGTGGACAGCACGGGGAGCAGAATCTACGACGCCCAAAAGAGAGCGGAATTGATGGCACAGCACCTTGAACAGCAATTCATACCCAACAGTATAGCAGAGGGGTACGCAGACCACGTACAAGGCATAGAGGACCGCGTACGGGAATACCTCTCTAACCCGGCGCCGCCATTGCGAGGCGGCGATTTCATATCTCCAGCAGAGGTAAGGCGCACTATTATGCGCCTACCTAGCCGTAAAGCGCCGGGTTATGACGGCATTACCACCATTGCCATAAAGCAGCTGCCCAGAAGGGTAATAGTGGCACTCACCAGTCTGTATAATGGCATCCTGCGGACTGGCCACTTCCCGACCATATGGAAGCAGGGCAGAATCATCGTGCTGCCGAAGCCGGGAAAAGATAGGAGGTTCCCGGCCAGCTACCGCCCCATAACGCTATTGCCGCACATAGCAAAACTTTTTGAAAAAATCACCCTGAACAGGGTTCTCCCACATGTTACCCTGCGTGAGGAGCAATTTGGCTTCCGCAGGGGACATTCCACAACCTCTCAGCTGGCCCGCGTGCTGCACTATCTTGCGGCCGAATATAACTTCGGCCGCATCTGTGTGGGGGTCCTTCTCGACATGGAGAAGGCCTTCGACAGGGTGTGGCACGCAGGGCTAGTTTATAAACTCATTCAGCACACCACTTTACCGCCCATGCTTGTGCGGTTAATAGCGTCATTCCTGGAAGGGCGGAGCTTCCATGTCTCCTTGGAAGGGGCTGTTTCGGCGGCACGACCGATTTCTGCGGGAGTGCCACAGGGCAGCTGCCTATCACCGCACCTGTACGCGGTCTACACCAACGACATCCCCACCCTCCAAGGCCATCTGGAGGAATGGGAGGATGACGTTGTCCTAGCCTTGTACGCCGACGACAGTGCGTACTTCGCGTCATCACGTCGGGTGGACATAGCTGCTAAGAAATTGCAGCGGGTACTCGACCTCTTGCCTGAGTGGCTGGACAAATGGAGGCTGGCGGTCAACGTCGGGAAGACCGTCGCCTTCATGACCAGGCTGGCCAGAACACCACCAACCCTGCAACTCCGCGGGCAGGATGTGGGTTGGAGTAGTACCATTACGTACCTAGGATGCCAGATAGATCGCTCGCTGCGCATGACCCCGATGGTCAATCACGTTGTGAGACAGGCCAGAGCTGCGCGAGCGAAACTATACCCTATACTGGCATCCAAACTCCCAACAAGAACGAAAATAGGTATCTACAAAACCTACATCCGCTCGCGGCTGACCTACGCAGCACCAGCCTGGTACGCGTTGACCTCGGCCACTCAGCGCAAGAGGTTGCAGGCCCAGCAAAATCTTGCGCTCCGGGTGATCGTGGGAGCCGGTCGCTACGTCAGGAATGACATCATTTCTCGCGACCTCAAGGTCGAAACCATTCATGATTTTGTGGTCCGTTCTGCGAGACGGTTGTTCGACCGCGCAGACAACGGGCCACACCTACACCTTCAAAATCTTGCTCCCCTCCACGCCCGCCCACCTGACGGGCGACCACTCCCACGTGAACTTCTACGCTCACTGCCCGGCACAGGGGACGCCGGGGGTGAGTGAGCGTCCCGACACTCGACGTGATGGCGCGAGGTGCGCAATACACCTACATATAAGCTGCCAACGCAGCACCCAGGACCGGGGGGTCGTGTCCTCCTGAGATGCCGCCCATGTAAAGAGGGTCTCCTCGACACATGAAAACCTCCACAAGGAGATGAACCACCACTGTCGCCACCTGTGTATTATCCTACGTAATATCAATTTGTATACGATATATAACAACAATTTACAATTTTCCTTTGTTATTATCATCTATCGCGAGTTGTGTGAGTCAGTGTTTGTAGTTCGTTTGTGATCTAATACTACTACTACTACGAAGTAATGGCAGATACAGCAGTAGCTTCCGAAACTCCCGCTCCGGCGACTCCGGCGAAAAAACCGAAGGCCGCCGCTACTGCAGCAGGTGGTGCAAAGAAGCCCAAGGCGAAACCCACTCATCCGAAGACTTCCGAAATGGTCACCAGCGCAATTAAAGAGCTGAAAGAGCGCAGTGGATCATCTTTGCAAGCGATAAAAAAATATATTGCCGCTCAATATAAAGTCGACGCTGAAAAACTAGCTCCGTTCATCAGAAAGTACCTGAAGAGCGCAGTCGAATCGGGTGCGCTTATACAGACAAAGGGCAAGGGGGCTTCCGGTTCCTTTAAGCTTGAATCAAAATCGTCCGCCTCTAAGAAACCGTCGACGGGTAAGAGCAGCGGTGGCGCAAAGAGCGGCGCGTCCGCCGCTAGCTCGGTGTCGGCGAAGGTGAAGAAGAGCACCGCCGCGGGTAAGGGTAAAAAGGCAGCATCGGCAGCGACCGCATCATCACCGTCTAAGGCAAAACCGTCTGCAGCTACCAAGGACAAGAAGGCGGCCGCCGCGAAAAAGAAGCCGGCAGCCGCAAGAAAATCCGCAACCGCTGGCCAAAGCGGCGTTTCTAAGGCGAAAGGCGCCGCTTCGAAGGCGAAAAAGAGCGCCAAACCACCGACAAAGAAACCTAAGGCTCCAAAACCGAAGAAGGCGGCAACACCCAAATCGAAGCCTTCCGCGGCGGCATCGAAGAAGGCAGCCGCTTCTAAAAAGTAAGGTCCGCTGTCACCGCCTTCCGTCGTCATAACCACCGCCGCCGTACCTACCTACGTACGTACTCGTACGCGTAATTGTCACGCGCGTATGTGATTGTGTAGTGCATGCAGGCTGATGCTGCTGAGAGACAGGTAGGTAGGTAGGTAGGTAGGTAGGTAGGTAGGTAGGTAGGAAGGAAGGCAAGCAGGCAGGCAGAGTGACAGCAAGACGGGACGGACGGGACGGGAGAAGGATCCTCGCGGGTGAACGCGAGTGCCTCGTAGCGCCGCGGCATCGGGCCTATTTATTTTTATTTTATTCTTAAAAATAATACCTATAAAATAAATGGTGTACGCGTGTCGCGTCGTATACGAATATGCGCGAGCGACCGCAATGCTAAAAAGCCCTTTTCAGGGCTAACAAAAATTTCCTATGAGTTTCTTATACGTCACGCGTCAATCATAATGATTGCCTTATTATATATATTACCTACCTATATTATATATATCGCACCGTCCCTCACTTCAATCAAATCAGTCAGTCAGGCAGTTCTATATAATATAATATAAAATATTATGTAATTATGTAAACATTGCAACGAAATAACGAACGCACAACTTATGAACGCACGATAACGATTTAACTAAGTAGGTATATAAATTCGAATAAGCTAAATACACGTATATTAAAACAATAAACGTAGATGCGTCGTAAATGCGTTACAACAATTTACGAAACACTAAATACCTCTATATATATATACACACCACCTACTCAACGAATTCAACGTACTACGTTCACACTTTTAAAAAAATTTTAATAGGTGCCTAGGTAAAATAGATAACACAACCGAATCGAATCGAATCGAACGGAACCGACCGACCGACCGACCGACCGACCGACCGACCGACCGACGCGACGCGACGCGACGAGACGAGACGAGACGAGACGAGACGAGACGAGACGAGACGAGACGAGACGAGACGAGACGAGACGAGACGAGACGAGACGAGACGAGACGAGACCCTACACGAACGTAACACGTATAATATTATGTACCTATATAAATAATATTATCACTTTCACACTCCCTAATTTTCTTGTTACAGTTTTTCGTTTTTCTTCCTCTTCGACGACGATATATTATACTATTCTATTCTAACGCGTTATATCCTATTGCTGCTACCTAGTATTCTTCTTTTTTTCTTCTTTACAAGTACATTCGTTTCGCCCTCGCCCGACTGCCCGACTCCCGACTCCCAACTCTGACTTGAGATTTTCCAACTAACTAAAAGTCTGACCGGACCGACCGCGCAAACGTGTTGCGTTCGCGATCGATCCCCACCCCACCTAGTGGCGAATCGATGCTTGCTATATAAAGGAACGCCGCGAGTTTAAAAAAACATCGTGTACTTTTTACGCGATCATGATGTCGACATCATGCTAGTGCAGGAGACCTTCTTGAAACCTAGCGTGCGCGATCCCAAAATAGCTAATTATACCTTAGTAAGAAATGATAGGCTGACCGGACCTAAAGGCGGCACCTTGATCTACTACAAAAGGTCCTTGCACTGTATACCGTTAGACACTCCACCGCTTGCTAACTTAGAAGCATCGGTATGTAGAATAGCACTTACGGGCCATCCGCCCGTCATAATTGCCTCGGCATATCAGCCACCGCAAAAACCCTTATTAGAAGCCGACATCTCGGCACTACTAAATCTAGGCCCCAGCGTAGTAATCGCGGGTGACCTAAACAGTAAGCACGTTAGTTGGAACTCTAACCTAAACAATCCAAACGGAAACATATTATGCGGCCTCACGGAGAGACTTAACTTCGACGTTATCGCTCCTGAGAGCCCAACTCACTACCCATTTATAACTAGTCACCAACCGGACGTCCTTGACGTAGCTATTTTAAAAGACATCCGGCTTAACATTAACTCGATCGAAACTTTCATCGAACTATGCTCGGACCATAGGCCGATCGTATTAGAACTGGGCCGGTCGGCTGGTGAGGTCCCTCAGACCAAAACCATCGTCGACTGGCGTAAGCTCAAGGTCAAACTTGAGTCTACGAACTCCCAGCATTTAGACACAATACCGGACAAGATAGACTCGCCGGAGGAAGCCAATAGGGCGATTAGCGCCCTATCGACTCACCTCACATCAGCGGTCGAAGAGTGCTCCCGTAAGGTTCGTGTGTCGAGCGATCGGTACACAAAGCTTCCGGCAGACGTTCGACGGCTGATTAGAGCGAAAAACTCCGCGCTAAAAGCATATGACCGTTATCGCACGGAAAATAACAAAATCCGGCTACGTTCTCTGCAAAACGAGATTAAACAACGCGTTGTAGAATTTAGAAATGATAAATGGGATAACCTCTTAGAGGGATTAGAACCATCTCAAGATGCCTTTTGGAGGCTGACTAAAGCCATAAAAGCAGAGCAAATTGCTCCCATGCCGCCTCTCGTGAGGCTCGACCACCCCGATCTCGCCTTAGACGATCTCGAAAAAGCCGAATGCCTAGCCGACAGTCTAGAGAGCCAGTGTACCCCATCCAGCGTACCAACAGATCCCGCTCACCTGCTAGAGGTAGAAGCGGAAATCGAACGTAGGGCTGCGTTTCCGCCAGCGGGCGATCCACTCGATCCCGTGACTTTCGAAGAAGTCACTAAGACCATAAAAAGCCTTAAGATTAGATCAGCCCCTGGGCCAGACGGCATCAGTAACAAGGTGATCAAATCTCTTCCGGCACCGTTAATTTACCTCCTCGTAGGAATTTTCAACGCGCTTCTCTCGAGCTGCTCTTTCCCGGATATCTGGAAAGAAGCAGACGTAATAGGAATCCATAAACCGGGCAAACCGCGTAACCGACCCACCAGTTACAGGCCTATCAGCCTACTCAACACCTTAGGTAAATTATATGAGCACACTATCCTCAAGCGCCTCCGTCACTTCACGGAAACTAACAGACTCCTCCCTGACGAACAGTTTGGATTTAGAGCCAAACATTCATGTACTAACCAAATTCATCGCCTAACAGAATATATTCTGTCTGGCTTCAATCATCATCCGACAAGGAGAAAATCTCGAGGCACGGGAGCCCTCTTCTTTGATGTCGCAAAGGCATTTGATAAGGTCTGGCACGACGGCTTGCTCTACAAGCTGTATAAACTAAACGTGCCGGACAGGCTCGTACACATCATCCGAGCCTTCCTTTCAAATCGCTCTTTTCGCTATCGAGTGGAGGGAACCCGTTCTTCGAAACGCTTTCCTAAGGCCGGTGTCCCACAAGGCTCCGCCCTGTCTCCAATTCTGTTTACACTTTTTACGAGTGACATCCCTAAAGATCCAGCGGTCAACACCGCTCTCTTCGCCGACGATACGGCTCTCTTTGTATCAGAGTACAATAGGAATATTCTCACTTTAAAACTCCAAAAAGCTGCCAATCGCTTAGGCGAATGGTTCCGCCAATGGAGAATTGAAGTGAATCCCGAAAAAAGTGTAGCAATATACTTTCAACGGAATCCAAAACAGTCCGGTAATGGACCAAGAAAACGTATGAAGGTAATTACCTTATACGGCCGCCCCATCCCATGGGAATCCTCGGCCAAATATCTGGGCGTTACGTTTGACGCCAACATGAGTTTCGCGAAACACATTAGTATTGTTCGCAACAAAGCCAAGTCAGTTATTGGCCGTCTCCATCCTCTTGTGAACAGCAAGAGTAAGCTGTCTCTAAGGCACAAACTCCATTTGTACAAATCCTGCGTTAGACCTATCATGTCTTACGCAAGTGTAGCCTTTGCACACACATATAAGTCCCACCTAAACGAACTACAGAAAGTTCAAAACCTTTTCATCCGTAAAGCCACCGGTGCACGGTGGTATCAACGGAACTCTGATTTACACAGCGATTGTCAACTCCCCTGTATCTCCGAATACTTTAAGGAGATGTCCCAGCGCTACTTTGACAGCGCCGAAGCTCATCCGAACCCCCTAGTGGTAAACGCAGCCAACTACGTCCCGATACCGAACGTCGCGCCGTTTCTCCGTAGACCGCGTAATGTATTAATAGAGCAACCGCGCTCGCTCGATCCCGTCGACCCAAACGTCGCAGGCACATCACACACTGACACTACACCCACACCAATTGGGACAAACACTAATAGGACAACGGAAGGGGCGCGTCGCACCCGTAGGCGGGCACGACGCGTTCCAACACACACCGCGTACACACCGTACACCCGCGTGCCTGGGCGGTTCTCACCGCCCAGAACATCGACCGATACGAGCTAAGCAGTCAGAGGCAGGGGTTCGCATTCCCCCCCTCGGACTGCGGTTAGATAGCTCAAAACAAACCTCTACGGAGGGGACATGATGATTGGTAACAATACCAAATCACAAACCATCATCATCCTCATCCTTATCCCAGCTACCGCCTTTCCACTTTTAAATAGCTCGAGGCCTTTCAGGCCGCGAGCCCTGCGTCCGATGAAGCTGTAAGAACCGCATAGGTTAACAGCGTTAACATCACAGAAAATAGTTAAAAAAACATGAATTAGAGAAGAGATTCGGTTGTCTGCGCTCAAGCCGCGCGGACGTATTCTTCGGTCGAGCCCATGCGCTCCCGAATTACTAAGTTGCAATTGTGCGAAAAAAAAGACAATAAAAGGATTAAGTGCTCGAAGTGCTTCAGTGGTGTTGTGCGTCATTGCCGCCGTCAGGTTGCATCGGCCCGCCGGCCCATTGTTCTATTGTGTTAGGGATTAGTGTAGTGCCCCACGCTCTGCCAATTTCCAGTAAAAACTGTAAGTAGTTTATTACACACCGCCGTGCCGCCTCAGAGGCGGCTATTATATTGTTATTGTATTAATCTCTGTGTTCGCTTGTCGCATTAGGCGACAGCTAGGTACACACCCTAACGTACCAACGCGTTAGGTATATAGGTGTTCGTTTAAGCACACACCTCCCCCGCCGTGAGGTGGGGGAGCTTGGTACACAAGTGTTTTCTTAAA